ATAACAGGAATGCTGACATCTCAATTTCAGCATCTTGTTTTCTTCCAAGCTGGGCTGAAGTCAAGACAAACAAGAAGTATGCATTAAAAATCATCCTAGGACATTTTTTATATTTCAGTGCACAAAGAAAGCACTCAGTGTGTATGTGTGGGAAGGAGGGATTTTTCTTTTTAGAGGAACAGTTTTTATAATATTTCAGTTTTACTGTGAGCCACTCCATTGTGCAAAGTGCTACATATAAGACTCAAAATCCAGATTGATGAAGCCCAGAGTCATGAGGTTGTTCTCTGGTCTCCTCCCCCAAAGGTAAAAAAAAAAAAAGATGTTGAGATTCTAGAAATTGTGCAGAGAAGAGCAATAAACATGATTAGGAGTCTGGAGACTAAAACCAGGGGTGGGATTCAAATTTTTTAACAACCGGTTCTGTGGGCATGGCTTAGTTGGCAGGCATGGCTTGGTGGTCATGTGACTGGCTGGGCGTGGCCAACTCAACGTCACTCACATCGAGGCACGCATCTCCTCACCTGGCCTTTCATGACTGTGGGGATGTTGCAACAGTCATAAGTGTGAAAAATGGTCATAAGTCACTTTTTTCAGTGCCATTGTAACTTTGAATGGTCACTCCATTCAAAGGGAAAAAAAACTCCAGAGAGGTTCCTGAGACAGGAAGTCTAGTCCTGCCAAGAATGTAATAAGGGTTAATGGAGAGGCAGTTTCTGTAAGCAACTCCAGAATGTTTCCTTCCTGCCTTCCTTACAGGATTAGGCCAGTAATTTCTTCTAACAACTGGTTCTCCGAACTGCTTAGAATGTTAACAGCCGGTTCTAGAGAATAGGTGTAAACTGGCAGAATCCCACCCCTGACTAAAACATATGATGAATGGTTGCAAGAACAGGATATGTCTATCTGAATGAAGAGAACGACCAGGGGTGACATGATAGCAGTCTTCCAATATTTGAGAGACCGCTATAGAGAAGAAAGGATCAAACTATTCTTCAAAGCAATCGAGGGCAGAACAAGAAACAATGGATGGAAACTAATTAAGCAGAGAAGCAGTTTCCTAACTGTGAGGACAATTAACCAATGAAACAACTTGCCACCAGAAGCTGTAGGTGCTCCATCACTGGAGGTCTTTAAGAAGAGATTGGACGGCCATTTGTCTGGAATGGAATAAGACCTCATGCTTTTGCACAGGGTTGGAAGGTCAGTTCCAACTCTGTTATTCTGCATTATGTACATCTAAAGATTTGGGATTCCAACTTACATCAGCCTAAGCTAACCTGATCAATAGCAAAGGATCATAAGAACTGCCATCCCAAACGTTGGAAAGTGACAAGTTTAGAATAGAATAGAGCTGGAAGGGACCTTGGAGGTCTTCTAGTCCAGCCCCCTGCTCAAGCAGGAGAACCTCTACCACTTTAGATAAGTGATTGTCTAGTCTCTTCTTAAAAGCCTCCAGTGATGGAGCGCCCACGATTTCTGGTGTCCAGCTGTTCCACTGGTTAACTGTCCTCACTCTTAAGAAGTTTCTCTTCAATTCCAGGTTGCTTCTCTCCTTGATTAGTTTCCATCGCTTCCTCTCCTGCACTCAGCTGCTTTGGAAAATAATCTGACCCCCTTTTCTTTCTGGCAACCCCTCAAATACTGGAATATTGCTCTCATGTCACCCTCGTCCTTCTTTTCTTTAGACCAGCCAAACCCATATATGGTTTAGTCTCCAGGCCTTTGATCGTCTCCTCTGAACTTTTTCCAAACTTTTTCCCTATTTTCATACCATTCCGGACAAATGGCTCTCCAATCTCATCTCCAGTGATGAAGAAATCTCCCCTCAAATATTGGAAAACTGTTTTCACATCACCCCTGGTCCTTCTGTTCACCGGATTAGACTTCGCTTGCTTAAAAGAAGATGAGTTAGAAGCTCACACCAAGGAGTTCTTGCGGACTCTGGCTTGATTAAGGCAGACTAGTAAGCCAAGAAGCTCCTTCAGAATTAATGCCCACTTTCAAAATCTTTGCTCATTACATTTTATACAGCCATATTCTGAAAAGGCTCATTTTTAAAAATATATCAAAATCAGTGTATCGCACATCTGCTGATCCAGGGACAAGTACAACTGGAACGGAAGACAAATGTGTGCAAAGGTTCTCCTATGCCACAGTTGCCACCTGCTCCTCAAGCAAGACTTGTGGGGCCCAGATTGCACCCTGTATCTGTCCAGGGCAGTGCAATGCCAATCAGCACCCAAAGTGGCAAAGTCCTGGAGCCAGTGGGCCCCGAAATCCACAGCCACTCAGTCTTGCTAAAGTTGTGGCTTAGGGCACCTTGTGAACTCAGCCAGAATGTACCAGGGTACTCTTAACCACAGCAGGACCCGAAATATGAGGGAGCTGAAATTGCCAACACATGAGACAACATGGCATCTCTTTCCAAAACAGCCTGGCCTCAAATTTAAATCTGTGGAGGAGGGGCAGGCTCTTCTAAAAGAGAATAATGCCATAGTGACAGACGGCAATCAGGATCCATTTGTTTCCGAGGCTCCGGAGCAGAGGGCAGCTCGGCCGTTTCATCTCAGACCAAGAGAAGATTCAACCCTCTCTTCCCTAAAATAAACCTGTGCCTCACATAATGCACGAAGCGGAGTCATCTTGACCTCGTTCACACAAAACGAACAAGCATACATAGGGCTTTTGTTGGGGAGAGCTGAAGGGGAAGCAGTGTTCCTGGAGTAGCTCTTTGGAGGGAAGGAGAGCAAGGTGATTTTATCTTTTCCTCCTCCACTGCCATTGCACAAAAGAGGCCTCCACATCTGCAAATACAGCTGCCAACGCACCCGTTGCTGGCTCCAGGCCAAAGTCTCTAGGTTAGTATAATGGCAGCCACTCGGCTGATTCCAAGCCAGGAAAAAGCAGAGCTTCGGCCAGAATTATCAGCTGGAGCTATAAATACAGGAGATATGCAGAGAAGCGACTCAGCCGATTGGGCCTTGACACTGGCTGAAGAAGGCAAGGTGGAGGTGATGGCATTGCTTTAAATATTTAATCGGAAATTAAAACATGAAAGCCTTTCTATTTTTAATTATTCAATCACTTCTGGAAGATCGCTGAAGCCCGCACTCTCTAACATTTGAAATTAAGCGGTGTCCCAATTAAATAGCCCATCCTCCTACAGTGCAATAAAACACAAGTGCTGTGCACACTTTGGAAACCATTTGGTGACAGTGTGTTGGACTTCACACCAGGGTGGTACTCTCTGCTTTATATTCAGTCGCCTCGCCTCACCCCTGACCTTTTCTTTTTTGCTTCTGCACAAAATAGGGAACAAAGGTGGAGCTGCTTTAAGAGCCACATTAATTGCCACAAGGTCTTGAAAGCAGCTGCATCTTCGCTCAGGCTCCCAGGGAAGGATGAAAAAAAAATAGGCTGCTTCAATGTGTGGTGTGTGGTGCTCCCACAATCTCCCAATTTAAAGGTATGCACTCCCTCCATCTTGAGATGGACAAAAATTGGGATCAGAAATCACTTGGAAGCCAGAATACAGGCAGTCCTTGACTTACAATCATAACTGAGCCCAGAATTTATGGTGCTAAGTGAGAAATTTGTCCATGGGAGTCTTGCTCCATTTTATGACTTTTTTGCCACACTTGTTAAGTTGATCACTGTGGTTGTTAAATTAGTCACCTGGTTGTTAAGTGAATCTGGTTTCGCCCATTGACTTGGCTTGTCAAAATATCACAACAGATCATACGACCCCGGGACACGGCAACCGTCATAAATATGAACCCATTGTCAAGCATCTGAATGTAAATCACAAGTGTGAAAAATGGTCCTAAGTCACTTTTTTCAGTGCCGTTGTAAATTTGAACGGTCACTAAGTGAACTGCTTTAAGTCAAGGACTGCCTGTATAGCACCATGTGCCATGAGCCAGCTAACTGGAGCTGTTGGTGGTCAACTCTGGTGAAGCAAACTCCAGCTTATCCTAGCGTGGAAACCCAGCCGTGGCGAGGGATGAGGGCAAAGGAGGCGAGATTAGGGACGGGAAGGGAAGAGAGAGGTGCCAAACAAGAGCTCTGCCCTCCTGGGGAAGAACGGAGCACGAGAAAGAGGGACTGCCTTGGTTTAGTTTGGAATGAGAGAGGGAGGCTCCCAGGCTTTCAAAACCTTGCTTATATAGCCTTCAGCAATGGAGTCCAGTTGTGCATAGCACAAGCAGTTCTTGACTTAGAACCATGTGCTTAGTCACTGTTCAAAGTTGCAATGGCACTGAACAAAGTCACCTACAACTATTCCTCACATTTATGACCACTGCAGCATTCCCTAGTTATAGGATAATAAATTGGGCACTTGGCTACCGGGTACATATTTACTAGGGTTGCCTTGTCCCAGGATCACCTGGACACCATCTGCAACCTTCCCAGCTGGCTTCCGACAAGCAAAGTCACTGGAGAAAGCTGGATTCACTTAACAACCCATGACTCACTTAACAACCCCATGATTCACTTAACAACCACGGCAAACAAAGATCATAAAATCAGGCACAACTTGCTTAACACCTTGCTTAGGAATGCAGTTCTAGTCCCCGCTATGGTCGTAAGTTGAGGACTAGACGAGAGCATAGTTTCACTGGGAATGAAGTGGGATAAATCATCATCACGTTTGTAAGGCTTTCAAAATACTTTTTTAATAATTTTTTTCTCTACCCTAGAACAATAAAATCAGGTTGCACTTGGGATAAAGAGGAGAGAGGGAAACAATGTCAGGAGTCCACAATTCGGTTGTTATACCCTCTTACAAAGAAAGCAGCATCCCAGCATTTCTTGCAGAATCTGCGCCATAGAAAATAGAATAATAGGATTCTAAGAGAGCTTCAAGGTCCTCTAGTCCTCTAGCTAATCTAGAATAGGCCAACCCTCTTTCCTTTGTGAACAGCTCCTCAAGTACTGGAAGACGGCTATTGCGGTATGTCACCCAGACCTTCTCTTCGTTAGACGAGACGTATCTAGTTCCCCCAATCGTTCATGATACGGTTGAACCTCCAGACCCCTTACCATCTTTGTTGTCCTTCTCTGCACTCTTACTAGAATCTCAACATCTTTTTTGTAGCACAGTGACCAGAATTGGATTCTATATTCCTCACTAGTTTGAGGAATAGGACTATTATTGAGTATTGTACCTGAAGATTCCTGATGAATGTATCTTTTCTTTTATGTACACTGAGAGTCTTTGCACCAAGACAAATTCCTTGTGGGTCCAATCACACTTGGCCAAGAAAGAATTCTATTTTATTCTGTTCTGTTCTCTTCTCTTCTAGCGCAACGCGTCTTCTGTTCTCAGAAAAAGCTGCTAGCTCTCCGCCACCTGGAAATTGCTCCTGATCCTTTCACACAACCTCAATCAGCAGGAGAAGATTTTGACAATCTTGTGGTAAACAGGAACCCACATAAACAGGCACAGTGAGAATAAGAGCAGCTGTTCATGTTTCTAGGAAAGATTATCCGTGCCTTAAGCACAAGGAGCTCACGGGCAAGACATTCCGTCAAAATGCTGTCCTCACAGTGGAGTTGGCCATTCTCTGGAGAACAGCAATTATCGCCCTGGGTCATTTCCATCAAGATCATAACTGGACTCTGACAAACAAGAAAAGATGAGGAGCAAAACAGATGCCTCTGTAATTCCCCAGGGTTGTCAAGCAGACTGCCGTACAATTTTTCAGGGACTGATGTGTTGATAAGATACGTGTCACTGTGACAAGGAAAGTATTTACAGACCGGCAAGGGCTTATGTGCATATTACATGCAGCCCAAAAGAATAAGACCCATATAATGGGATCCTTGTTACTGCAGACCAAGGCACAGATAGTCCTCAATTTACAATTTACAACCATAATGGAGCCTAAAATTTCCATCGCAATACGGCTGATAAGTGAATTTTGCTCCATTTTATGGCCTTTTTTGCCACAGTTAAGTGAATCTAAGTCACGTTTCTTCTTTGCTAACTGTGATCAGCATTTGTCACTCATCTCATCTAATGCAACAATTGTGTTGAAAACCAGTCATAAGGCACTTTTTTCAGTGCTGTTGTAAGAATGGTCACTAACGAATGGTTATACGTCAAGGACTCCCTATACCTACAGCCTTTTTTTTTTTTTTTGAGATTCAGGACTGGCACCCTGAATCATGAGGCCGGCACTAACACATCTGAGTTGATTTGTGTTTCCACTCCTATTTGGCAGCTGAAGCAAGAAAGCTCATATTCCAGGAATACCTCTGCATCTATAAATACATTTCACAGGATGAATGCAAACATCAGCTGTCAAAGTGTTTTAAGAAGAAGTGGCAGCACTGGCTGTTTGCTTCTTATGAGTTTATCTGGGGGGGGGGGAGGCATTTGGTGTCAAGTGCATCTTATCAAATGTTCAGGGGTGTCCAACCTTGGCAACTTTAAGACTTGTGGACTTCAGCTCCCATCATTCCCTTGCTGACTAGGGAATTCTGGGAGCGAAAAATGCACAAGTCTTAAAGTTGCTGGCTGGGGGGTTCTGGGAGCTGAAGTTCACAGTCTTAAAGTTGCCAAGGCTGGATACTGCTGACCCATGTTACTGTTCTCCTTGATAAATGCCTCTGAATAAATCATTTGTGGGATGTGTAAGGGTTTGGCTAGAGAACAGTGTCTTTGGCCTCTGCCAGCCCCCTAAATCTCTCACACCTGGTGGCACCTACTGTGTAAAGGAGAAGTGAGCCTTGAGATTTAAGGTCTTGAAGTAGGACATTGAAATGGTGTGGGCGTGAATGCACAGAGGTGGAGAGAGAAAAAGAGCTAGAAAGGGGGAAATTCATACAAGAGAGGGGGAAACAGCCAGTTGTCACCACAGAGTCTTCTCCTATTTTAATTACAGGTAATCCTCAACTTATGACCAGAAATGGTTTTGCAACCATTTGAACTTATAGCTGGTCGTTGCGCTTAACAATTGTTGCACATCAGGACACTTGGCAACCGGCATGTGCTTTCAGTGGTTGCAGTGCCTGAGGGTCATGTGGTCACCATACATGACCTTCCCAAGCTGGCTTCCAACAAGCAGTCAATGGGGGAATATGGCTTCCTTTAACAACTGCATGGTTCACTTAACATCCATGGCATAAAAGGTCGTAAAATCAAGCACTTCCCTATTACTTTGCTTAATGATGGAAATTCTGGTCCCAATTATGGTTGTAAGTCAAGGTCTACTAGGAAAAAACTGACCTGAGAAAGAAAAGGCCGTTTCCCTTGCAGTATTCAAACTCTTTTTGTCAAGCTCAGCAACTTTAAGACAGGTGGATTTCAATTCCCAGAATTCCCCAGCCAGCATGTTAGAAGGAGAAACAACACTCTAAATGCTGCTTGAAACTCAGAAGTGAATGAAGTAGACATAAATATATTGCAAGCTTTTGCCTTCAATCCTGTTCGTCATATTTTAAAAGGTCCTAGACTTTCAATCAAAAGATGACAGCTGCTGGATCTGGTTCCAAAAAGTTGTGCCATCATAAGATGGCAGAAAATAGCTAAGAGTTTGTAGTCCAGGTGGACCTTGACTTACAAACATTTAGTGACCGTTCAAAGTTACAAGGGCACCTTAAAAAGTGACGTTAACACAACCATTGGACATCCCCATGGTCCCATGATCAAAATTTGCCTGCTTGGCCACATGTTCATATTTGTGACAGTTGCAGCATCCCAGGGCACGTTTTGCAATCTTTTGACAAACAAAGTCAATGGGGAAGTCAGATTCACTTAGCAACCAAGTTACTAACTTTGCAACTGCACTTCTTTTCTGTGGCAAGAAATGTTGTAAAATAGGGCAAAACTCACTTAATAAGTGTCCCATTTAGCAACAGAAATGTTGGCCTACGTTGTGGTTATAAGTCAAGGGTTACCTATATTTCTACAGCCATCTCATAACCATCGTCACTTCTGCAGGTCAGATCTACTAAGTCTATGAAAAGAGTTGTAACTTTCCTCCCTATGGGCAAGATAATTGATACCTAAAATTTATTTAAATACCAGGGGTATGGAACTCTCACCTTGATCTGAAGAGGACAATCAAGGACCTAAATAAGCATTGGAAGCATTGGTTTAGACACCTGCATTGCAGAGTCAACCCTGGACTCTGTTGGACATGAACCTGGTTTACATTTATAAATTGGGGTGCATTGTTTTTAAATGGGGCTATCATGTATGTATGTATGTATGTATGTATGTATGTATGTATGTATGTATGT